AGCATCAAGAGCGTAATTAAGACACTTGAAAAATGATAAAATATAGCCGAAGAAAAAAGGAAAAGCTTAAAATATGATGATGTGATTCCGTAGGAATAGAACACATTGTTTAATACCCTGTCAGGGGGGTTATAATAAATCCATGTAAATATTAAGATAATACATTGAAGAGCCCTTTGATAGCATAGGATGCCACAACACAGTTACGATATTCATGTAATAGATAACGCGTGAAATTATTTAACAGGAGGGGCCCTAAAAATGATAAAAAATATTCTGCATATGTATGCGCGTTGTTTAATTTAAATAGGGCGTTATTAGTGGAGTATTCCTTCTATTAAGGAGATAAGAATTAATTCCAAATTCTGTTGACATAATTATAAACTTTCTTATAAATTTCCCAGAATGGAATAAATTATGGCAACATGTTTATGTCAGGAAGTGTCAATTGTTCTGAAAGTCAAAGCACTTTTTGGAGTCGACTGTGAAATTATAATATGCACCGAGCAGTTAAATATATAACAAGGAGAAAAAAAAAAAGGAGTAAACGGGGCACCATGAAATGGAATAGTATATATACCTAGAATCAGCTGAGGAATCTTTCCGTGGAAGAATATACCAAATTTTGGTGATAAAGAATGAGAAAATCCTGTTTATCCGTGTAGACCACCATATGCCACTGTGCGTCGAATATATTAAAGCAAAGAATAGCGCGGAGCCGATTCAAAATATAACAGCTTCTGGATCGAAGGAGCACGAAAGCAATACTTGACTAAATAGGATAACCATTTAAAGGATTATAACAGGAAAGTGAAAATGTGAGTTTTCACGTACATACGAATACTCCATTAGATATCAAACAAATCATAAGAAGAATCAAAGGGGGGGATGACCCTGTAATTTGACACATTCCGATATAATACGAGGGTTATCATAATATATATATACGCTGGTAGGATGAAACAGGGATGCTGACAAAATCGGTGGTATCCTTTCTGATGGGTTATATGATGATCACTACTTAGGGAAAGACAGGCCTGTTCCAAAGATACCATATTTCTACATGTTCCTCTTCCGTGTCAAATTTGATGAATCCCGTTTCGCAAAGATATAACCAGGAAGCTCCCTCTTTTTTCATACTATTAGGAATGCCCTCAATTCTTTCAGTAGCGCATACACTTATTGTTCTCTCATTGGAAAATAAATATGGAAAAAAAATGGCATAACTTCTATTTACGTTGATAAATGAATGATAGGCGGTTTTGTAATTACAACTTTACGGCAAACTGATCTGATATGTAAGGAGTGCACATCCTGACCTTCAAGAATGCTGTGGTACTTATATATGCTTGTTCTTCTTCTTTTTCTACTGTTAACTTATGATTTTCTCTCTAAGGATATTTTATCAGTGTGTTATTCCTATTGCGGTGTCTTCAGTGGGTTGTGCCCTGTTTCGTACCGAAGCGTCCGGATGGGGGAGAGCATTTTATGTAAATTCCCTGTTTCTACGGGTCTTATAGGACAGTCTGCCCTAATTTAATAGGTGCAGGGGAATACAGAATCCAATATGCCATGGTTATCATTAAGTGGAACAAATAGACAGTGATCTTCTTCCACCTGTTGCGTGTGTTTCCAGGCTGTTATGTATAACGAGTATTTAAGAGAACAAATAATGGGACTACTCTCAGGAACCCTCCAGGAGAATTATTACAAATAGCGGATTTCGCATTCCGAATTCGAACATTCCTTCCTTTTTATATGTTACGGAAAATTTGTCTACCCCCACATTCAAGATGAATGGGGCATATAATGGTAGATGAGATATTTCGCGGGATCCAGATACGTTCCCCCGATGATGAGTCCCAATTCGTGAGCTCTTTTTGACATGTATTCCGCATTGCAATTTTGCCCAAAAATAGGGTTGATTATCTTCGTCATTTGTTAAATATTTCACTTACTTGATGTCCATGTTTCTAGAAGTACGTGCCCCCTTCGTTTTCTCGGTACGGGTCGTTCGTATCTTCCTGTATTCTGTAATTATGAGACTTCTGTGAGGTCATCTCACGTTAAGGCATTCATATGAACACCATTGCAATATAATATGTAAGTATGCGCGTTATATTTTGCCTTTGAAGCTGTTCTGCTCCAGGTACGTCATTATCAGGCTGGTGTGAGCTCTCCTATTATTGTTCGTTCGTCTCTTCTTATAGGAGTCCTCTTAATGTCTGCGCTTTATACTCAATGTGTTTTTTTCTGGACCTTCCCGGAAAAATTCTGTTGGTATCTGCTATTTTTTGGGACGTTTGCATATTTTCCTCGTTCAAACAGTTTCCTATGTGGCTACCCAGGTAGAATTTCACGTCTTGGGAATTCTATTGCTCTTTGCATTCATCCATAAGCATCATGAATAGC